TCCACAGGAACCCTGGAGAAGTCATAACATTTTGTCAGCAACCCTACGTTACTGCAAGATTCACCTATTGCCACCTGCGTCTCATGAATGAGGAAAGCTTCCACTCACTGATCGATTATTTAACTAATAATTATAGGATTGCTATCGTAAATGTTATTATGTCGTTTGCTGTCATTCGCTATGTTGTTCGATTATTCGATTACATTCATGTGCATCGATAAACTATGAATTTGCTAATTAAAGATATTATTGCTTTGATTCAATTACGCAAGTTTAGGTGATTGCACTAATAAACGACTTGATACAAACGTCCAATTATAAATGATAAATCTTACGATCCATGTAACACATGGATCGTAAGATTAATTGCATTGTTTTGAATCAAATGCAGCAAATCAGCGATGTAATTCAAAGTGCTCTTTCATGAATTTGCTTTAAGAACTGGCAATCAGTAACATTTTGTAACGGTATCATTTGCGCTAGGTTATTGCTCGCAATTAAATGAAGTTATGTCATTAATGCGTTCGAAAGCGGACGTTTTTTTTTTGTCGTCCTTTCAACAGTTTGTGCTGTAAATTTTTGATCTTATGAGATTCTCAGTACTGTTGGATTAGTTGTCATCTCAACCGACGAAATCGAATTTCTGTGTTATGCGGTGAAGCATTACACACTCACTCACATGCATTTATAGGGGTGGCCATACGATCACTGCAGGCTCTTTCGAGATGTCAGCTAATCGATTTGCTTGAGAACAATTTTAGTCTAATATGGATTGTTTAATGGTCACGTGACGTATTTAGCGGATTTCAAAAGAATGAATGAAACACTGTGACAATGCTTTTACTGTGAAATACTCGTTGGATTATTGAAGATCGGAAGTCAGCATCATCGATTGAACAATGCTGTTGCTTGTTCGCGTATAAGAGATTAAGAGTTCATTCTCGATAATTCATAGTTCTGAACTTCCCTTAATGAGTCGAACACAACTTCATAATCCGTCAAGCGAACTAACAAAATTTTCATATTACAAGCAATGACACATTCTGACGAATTTCATCGTGGACACTATTGATAACCCTGTCGTTGCAATATGTTCTCTTCCGATTTGATTCAGTGCAAAATAAAATAAGTTGTGATTGCTTCCTTCAACTCATTCCACGACCTTTTTTTAGCTAATGAACAACAGTTTACAAGCAAACAAACATTTGATTCACTGATCATCCATATGTTCTCGAGATTGTATTCTGACACATAATCTTAACTGCTCGTAATTTCTGACAAAGTAAATAAAAAATTCATAAACATTTCGCATAGAGACGTTCAAATCAAATTATATACGTAGAACACTGAAGTGAAACTGAACTCTGAGGTGAAATTGAACTCTGAAGTGTGCTTCATTTCGCCATCGAAATAATGAGTTAGATTTATTTCAGTGGTTGATTGTCGATACTGTGCAGCAAATATATACATTTCCGTTTTCTTTTGGAAAATTTGCCATGAAAAGATTCTCGCTCAGTTGATTGTTGCATACAAATTGTAAAAATAACTTTTTTCATCAAAACATTTTCCATGTTTTGAACACGGGTTCTTGATCAGTTCCGTGATTTCGGCAAGATTACTGAGTCTTATCCTGAAAAGCCAAGAAAAATTCATGCTCATCTCACTTAAGCATGATATCATCAAACATCGATGAAACTGTCACGGTTTAACTGATGAGTGCATTCAGATTTTTGCAATGCCTGGCTCCGCCTATCGGATCATACCAACATATTCTTCAACTATCGCATTGCCTGAGCCTATTTATCGTTTTCGAAATCACCTCTCTATTCCGGTTGACAAATCTCGTGTCCAACACGGAACAGACTGCTTGAAATTCCTCGCTGTCATTTTTCGTGCAATTGCACGTTTCTGAAATGAATTTCACCTGCAGCACATAATCGTGTGCAAAGGATTCCACGAAAGTTTCGACTATAATGCATCAGTAAAAATTCAAAATCTTTAAGTGGGTTTCAGAATGACGATTGCTCCTTCAACGAGGAATTTCAACGCTTTTTCTCCAAATCTTAGTGCGTCGAAGTCTTCTTTCAGTCCTGATTTCATTCAATTCTGGCTTGACGACATCCCCTATTATAATAATAATATTTTATTCGCATGTCAATATGTATAAAGTAGTATAATACGGTCTAATACTATCTGGCGAATATACTACCCCAACTATTGTTGGGGAGGAGGAAAAGATTTTAAAACAGGCAAAGGAGAGTAACAATAAATATTATCTCTTGACTTTTTTCTGCCACCGTCCGTCACACGTTTATCCTAAATTTTTGACTAATAAATCGTTCTCGTCTTACTGATAATGCGTCTTTTCATACTGGGAGCTTTTCAAAGTATGTTGGACACTAGGTGATGCTCCTAAACTAAAGTGATAATAATTTAATTCGATTGCCTGTGTCACTTCTTCATTCATCTGGTAAGCATTCCCATGAATATGTTCGCTGCTGATCCACGAATGCTTTACGTTCTACGTTTGAGATGTTAAATGAACACCTGTTATTCCCGGGTAGCATAAATCCAATTCAGTTTTTTTCTCGTCATATTAATCGTTATAAGTTGTTGATCATTCTTTATTAATTCTTGCTCATTCATCAACTGAAATTGTATGTATGTTAGTTACTTTCAGTCGCAAGTTCAGATATATTGTCGTTTTGAATTTGTCGTGACTTGTTACAATGTACAAAGTCAAACTTAAAACACAACATAAATGTCCATGCGCATTCGATATCCAGCTGCCGCAATTAAGATCTTTTCATTTATTGTGGAAAGTGGTTGTTGCAGAAGTGCCTTACAAATTATCAGAAATTCCCTGAAATTTATCTTGTTTACTTAGTGTTGCGAATGTTTACAGTTTTGTGATGCCTTATTCGATTCTGATCGAAAGCAACTATAACTTTCGATTGAAAAATATGTTTTTGAAGTTTTAGTTCGCTTCATGTTATCCTGCTAGCTCCTCCTGCGCCAGAATCTTCATCGAAGCATCGGCTCTAAACAGAGGCATGAACGTTCTCAACTTGGCACATGTAGCTGTAGTTGAGTGATTACAAGACCTTCAGTAAACTCGAAATACCTGTGTTCAACTCGATGTCGGAGACCTGTCCTACACATTTATCATATGCGCCAAGCAAATGTGCACAATTTGGGAAAAATGAGCCTGTTCAAGTGTACGGCAAACCATTGCTAATCTAGTTGGGTCTTAGGATCCAAGCATTATGCGTGGAAGTCCTAAATTTTTTCTGATATTGAAGAGTCTACTGAATCCAATGATGTGAGGATATCATTGTTTTGCTGAGCAATCTTGGCATTAAAGTTGAATGCGGCATAAATGATCCAATGTATTGAGCATTGCGATAAACCTGATTATGGGGCAGTCGGGAGGCGTATCACGGTTTATGCCTATTGTTTACGCTTCAGTTTGCATCAGATTCTCACGGCCACTACTCGCAAGATAGCAGAAGTCGTAGTCAGCATTGGAATAACACACCATCTGTTATTTCATGAGATACGTACCTGTTTTCAGCAGTATGCCTACACATCGTGAATCAGTAATTGTTGTTCAACGAAACAAACTGCTTGCTCTCAAACCAAGAAATTGTCGACGATCACGGTTTGGAACTCATAATTATTGTCGAATTCACTGGTTTCGCATTTTCAGTGTCGTTTCCATTTCATTCGAAAAGATGTATGAAGAAATGTGTCATACTGCATTGGAATTATCCAATGAATACTACTACAAAGTTATGTTGCTCTGCAAATGTATTCTCAATATTATCGCAGTGGTCATATTCGTCTCCCTCTTCTTTACACAGGTCGGAGTTTTCAACGATGCTATTAGAATCATTCCATAATGTTGATCTAAAACTTTGTTATATCGTACCAGTGAAAATCTGATATCGAATTGCGGATGGTATGGTTTGGTATGGTTTGTTCAAGTACTCATATTGCGGGTCAGTACTCATATTGCGATGCCTCCATGAAACTCATATTGCGGGTCATTTATTGCAGTTAAGCTGTTTATGAGACTGGCATTCACCACTCAAAGAAATGCACTCGAAATAAGAGTCGCAGTACTTGATTGATAATTCCCAGTCGAAATTGCTGTTTGATCTAGTGATTAAGTCTTCTCGGTGAAGTATTACGTAACTATATTCATTTAAAATTCAACTTCACCATCTCGGGTTTTTTAAATTTCAAAAACTAAGAATATTTGTGCACTGAGCATCGGTGAATTTTTGGACTATACCTTTGGATTATATGGTATATAAAATCATTCTGAAATTGGCGCTTAAACCTAGGTTGAAGTTCATTGTTAGACTACGTCTAAAGCTGATGCTTAGGCCTAAAAGAAGGTTGATGCATAAGCTTAGGTTGAGATTGATGTTTGAGCATAAGGTGGGGTTCATCTGTAGATCATGATCGAACCTCTAGTAACACTGTGCCTAATCATGAAAATGAGTTGCTTTTCTGAAACATCGTGGACATGGGATGTTTGCCTAATAACAGAAGGCATGAAATAATCGTAGGTTAGAGCGATGATTTACTCATGGTAAAGTCACGCAACCTACTTTTGACGCAGATTACGTGAAAATTACTTCCTGTCCCCCCGAACTAGAGCTCAATGAATCAAAGGAATAATAATGTGAGCGGTTGTTGGTGACATAATGTTCAATTCTAGCCATTTTGTATGCTCCATATTCATTAAGCCAAACGTTGTTAGTCTAAACGTCATTAGGCGATATATGGTTATACTTGACTACCACCGTTTTCATTATGTATAGTTTCATTCTGAATCGAAATTAGGTGATGCCATCGCAAAGAATCCCCTGCATATATATTAAGTGAAACATGTTTTAAACATAACGTTTTTAAATTTATGTGAAGGTGACATGAGACGTTGTTGGATTGGTAATTTGAGGTGTTCTTTTTTCAATTCAGTGATTAATCAAATGGTTTTTAAGGGTTCTTACAGTGTGTTCCATCGCAATACTCGTCTTCTTTTGATAATGAATCAATTGTGGGCAATGGGCGGATGTACTGCCTATGCAGTCCTCTACGGATTTGATTACTGGCGTTTTTCAATGGTAAGAGCTAATGATATGTGCTCGCTGTTCACAGATAACGATTGTGAACGACTAAAATCGATCTCTAATTGCGGTCAACTTGTTTCGTTTCTTTAAAAACTTTGAAAGGATGTTATCAGGCATATGATTACCTAGTAATTAAGCTAAATGTGTTTAGAGATGCGCTCACACGTCATAATTGTTACTCATGTTGCCAGCAAACAAAAGAGACTGGCAATGTTGAATAATGTTAAAGTATATGGGAAAACTCTGAAATGATTCGCTAGGACCAGAATTATTTAGTTGAGCAATTCTGAAACAAATGTCTCGACATAGGTCAATTATAAGAAATTAACAATGAGCAAGTGAATAATTATTGATGACAAGTAAACGAATTCACGTTTATTATCTCACGAAAATGTTTTCATTCACCAACTCATTCATATTGTAGCAGCATTCCAATCCGTGTGACTATTTAATATCGGAGCGATTGTCTATTGCCATGCGCGTTCCAACCGACATTTGTATGTACGGACAATCATGGTCAATGGTAATGCTTGTACTTGAGAGAATAATTGCAACGATTCGAATCAAATCCTACGAACGATCAACTGGCAGAATCATGCCTTGGATTATGATTTTTACACAAGTAATCTGTCACTCAGTTTCGTTTGTCACCATCAGTCCAAGAGCTCTTTCACATGCAATTTGTAGCGTATAAATCGCACTGATTATTGATAATCGTCCCGCATGTCGACCATATTACAAATATTTTGCACTACTCATCTATTGCACTTCACAAAAGAGAGTCAAACATTCAGCAGCGCTGTACAATATCTGAGCGATTGCGCATATAGTTTGTTTTTTTNTTTTTTTGCATATGATGGCACTTGTGCAATATCCATTGGGTGCGGAATTGATATTATGGATTATTCACGTAAAAGAGCATTCTTATAGATTGTGCTTGCAATTACATGGGTTGCGGTGATGATTATCCATGTTAACTGGGATGATCTGAAGCTACTCTGTACTGTTTCAACATTACAAACCGCCAACCTCTTCCAGGTGATCAGAATGTGTTTAGTTTCAGTCGGTTGCAGTTCTTTGAGAAGCAAACATACGTTTGAACCGTTATGCCCGTGGAACTTTTATTCCTTTGACGAACGGTGAAGCTACCTCTTTGAGTAGTAAGAAGTGTAGCTGTTCTCATTGAAAGTGCACGAAAACCATAGTTGAAGATTTTGAAATGCTCTAGAATCTATTGGTTGTAAGCACTGTCGAAAAATATTGAAAACTGAAGGATTGAAAAACACTGTCGAAACCCGCTATGATCGTCTTTTGTTTTTTTTTCCTGATTTTATTTTGAGCCTTCACATTCTTAAATGCTAATCACGAGGAAAATGGGATTTCGTGATAAATTTAGCTGAGTATTGAAAACTCCTGGTAGATTGTTCCTTGTTTTTAATTCCTTGAAGCACTTTCCATCGGAGCTCATTAGCAGCAATTATTCAGCATTTTATTCGGCACCAACATTACAATAAAGCCTAATTTCGCCTTTTCCTAGATTGAATGAAATTTGAAGATGAAAATGTCTGCGTGGAATTGTAGACTTAGGAAATCAATCAAGTTTGACTTCTAGGAAATCCTCTAAGGTTTACAGTTCCGTTTCCGATGTCAATCAAGAAACCAAATGAGCAAAATTCAAAACGTTAAGGTAATGATGTTATCAATGGAGGTATTCGAAGTGTTCACTCTGACCTCGTTCATCGCTCTCTATCGCTTCAACCGGGCAAGATGTAAGTTCGTTGTTGAAGCGCCCACAAGTGGTATCAACAGTTTAACAGCACGATATCAGGTGCATAAGTTATCCCTTCAAACTTGCACAAGTTACCCTTTCCAAGAATCTCACTTCGCCGATGCTGATGATTTAATCAGTTGCTCACATCAAAATCGTTTGCCACATTTCGTTTCCGAACCAGTCAAGTACAATCGCAATCTTTTTTCACCTCGACAAGCCGATATAAGTTATGTCATACTTCGATGTATCACGACCATCGGATTTTGAATTCATACGCATTAAATGAGATCAGCAAGTAGAATGGAGACCGTGGATGTGGGATGTGCAAAGAAGCAACTGCGGGCAATCATAAACATGTATGAAATCATGTTAACTAGATTTAGTGAAGTCATGACATTGCTTAGAGAACACACAGCTCTCGGCATTGATCTGACTCAGTTCCATACCAAACACTTCAGTTTTGTTCGTAGACGAGGGAGTAGTGAACGTCGCCTTTCAATCTAACAATTAGCATTATTCACAGTTTGTCAACAAGCAGAAAAGCGCTTCGGAATTCGAGAACGAATGAAGGAGATTCTTCTCGAATTCTTCTCGAATTCGAGAAGAATTCGAGACGTCAATTTTCGGGCTCTTTCTGAGTCCCTCTCCCTAGAAATAAATGGGCATATGGGAGAGTAGCCCAAAACCTCTGTACTTGCCAAATCAATAATTCAAGTTCGGATTTCATGAAGACAGATGATTCCAAACGCTATTATCGTTAGCTGCGCGGAAAGAAGAATGCCAAGGAAGGAAGAATGTGATATTAGTGATATTGGTAATAACAGAGAGGCATAAACTCGTAATGAGTTTGATTTGCTGATTAAATAAAATGTTTTTTCAGGTACGTGAAAATCTGCGCGCAATAACGCTAATATTTCCGTGCGTATTGACACATTTCATTTGCTTCAGTGCCACGTTGGTGGCACAACCAATTAATTCCTACTTGAATCGTCAAAAATCACCGTTGCGATATTCCATATTTGTGGATCTGTGTAATTTTTTGGTGTTCTATGCGGTCATCATATCCATCTATTACTTTCTCAAACAACCGTACATTTCGAAAGTATTACTTCAATGCTGGCAACAGCTACATTCGGTGACATTTGGATGGTATCAACATTCGGTTGGTTGCTTAACCGTGCTCCCGTTTCTTAAATATCTCGCGAATCTTACGAGCAGAAACAGTGCATCTGAGATTTTTGAAGCCTTAACGCTTCTCGCATTCTTAAATTATTCAGCAGTTCGCCGAAGGGATCCTAAGGAAATCCTTCGAAAGCGATTCATTCACATTTCACTTTCCATCCGCTCATTTTTCCAAAGAAGAGCCGTTCTTTGCGCTTCTCTTCTCAAGTATCGCGACACACAAAATGTTTCAGCGAATTGGCTGAACCGATTAACGTTGAAATGTTCAGATATATGGAAAATTCATAAAGTTTCTTAGTCTCATACCCTAATCCATCCATGCAACTACTGAAATTTTCATGGAGAAATTGCTTTTGGTTTCTTCTTTACGCATACAATAGCAACTCAACGACTTCTTTACTGGTGAAAGCGTGCATTAATTAGACGATGAAATGTAGTTTCTAGTAAAAACAAATCCTCAAACAGAGTGAAACTCAATTAGATGAGCCTTCCACTTGTCTGACTTGAGACTAAAGTCTCTCATTTTTTTGAAAATCTGCGTTTGTTTTGTGAAACCAAACATTCTCAGCTGCAGAATAGAATGCATCTATAAGAATGGTTCTTTCGGTTGTCTAGTAAAGAAGACTATCGCAGTTTCAGAAACCGCAGGTATCTGCAGCTGGTGGAGTACTGCAAACAGCAGTTGCGCGTGAAACCGATGTTTACTTCGCCCAGCTGAACGATATTTTTAATGATGCGCCGTCTAAGAAGAAAAACAACACACGATCAAAAGAGTCAAGGAACGAGAGATATCATCCAAAAGGTTTTACGAACCCAGAACGGATGGCGATTGCGCACAATATTACACCATATCATTGATTCAAAAACAAATCTTATGACTCACACTAGATAGATAAACTTGTACGTTATTCAGTAGTTGGAGTGGCTGATAAATGATAAATAAGATGCTGTAAACTAGTGTGTTGCGGGGATCCAGAAACTTTGGGGACCCGTCCCCGACTTGATTCGAGCCGACTGCATTTTCAGTGTTCTAAACTGCAAAATTACCTCGCCGAATTTCTTCCTTCTCCGCAACATATTGCTATAAGCAACCATTGAAATTGCTTGTTGTCACAATTTGAAGATCTAGTTGCAAAGCGTTTAACTGATCGTTCGTTCATCTGATGATTCACAGGTATAACTTAGAGCAACTTAGCCAAGAGAACAATGGAGTATTCCAGCCAATTCGTAGTTGTCTTGATTCAGATACATTTCTTCTTTGAAGCGGTCGAAAATTATCGAAATTCAATGTATTGTACGTGCCAATCACATACGTCTTTGCACACAAAAATGTGAAGATTGTTCAGTGGTACAGCTGGAAAAAATTTCAGTGGCAGATTATCGACAGCGAAGAACAATGAAAATTTGTCTTCAGATGACCCGAAAAGATATTCGTAGACTGGAATCTGAGTCCATTTTTTCTTTAATTGTTTGTTATTGTTGTTGAGCGTTATGGTGATGGATGGAATAGTTTCAGTGAGAGAACAGCAATTTGTATGCATTGATCTTCATCAGACTGACTAGTTCCCCGTTTAGTGTATCGCTTTGTTTCGAGATAAATGTACCATTTCTACTAGACGATTGTGTTGAAATGTCAATCATTTTAATCGAAACTGTATCAGTAAAACTGGTTGAATCGACCGTAATGTTCAAGCAATAATCACTGGATACATCAGAAGCCGAAAAATTCAGTTTTGCAAGACTTATCTTGACTGCGACTGGAAGGCGGACCATATGACTTCAACATGCGACTAAAGTTGATCAAATTTGAATGAAAGTAATTCGAATTGAAAGTATCTCTTAGAAATGGGTGTCATAGTTTGCAGGGATTGTTTTGAGTTGATCCGAAATATTGTGATAATTAATTAACCTTTTGGTTGAGAGCTATCGGTCATTTTGATATGAAATGTAAGATGACACCTTCATAAGAACCCAATGGAAAATGCCCTCCACTCATTTCATTTGTGTTTTGCAATTGTCTCACATGAAATCCATTATGACCTCATTCCACATTGATTCACATTCTAAATAGTGAATATTTATTGTCTGACAAGATGGCGCAACACTACATTGGGAACGAGATGATTGATTGACCTGTTGCAAAAAAAANAAAAAAAATATCGTTAATGCAAAAAGACTTGTTTGTTTACGTAAGCAATCATACCCACTGATAACTCAATATCGCTGTTGCAAAAAGAGCATTTCACAAAAATGGCATACGACGAACGTTGATCAAATTTGAATGAAAGTAATCCGAATTGAAGGTATCACATAAAAAATGGGTGTCAAAGTTTGCAGCGATTGTTTTGAGTTGATTGAAATATTATGCTAATTAAACATCGATCCCTTCTAAGAACATGACCTAAAATCACTTCAAAATTACCATCAACAAAAGTTGTACTTAAAGTTTTTTTAATCGATTCCAACCACTCGCACATATCCGATAATTAGGATTATTCGCTAGTCAACCGTTTTTCATTTTACAGAATGAAGCACTAATCAAGAAACCATAATCAAGAACCAGCAGTAGTGCAATGCTGTGAATGAAATTTTGTGAACGAATTGAGCAGTGCACTCAATTAGAGCAACGTGAACGTATAGTTTTTAAGTTATGGTTGATTTGAATGAATTTAGGAGAGAGGGCGTTATTTTGGGATCCTGATTTTTAGAGAGATACGAATTTCAAATATCCATCCATCCATTGTCGCACTTCATTCGCATAAGATTTGTTTGCAATTCGTTGGTCAGCTCATCACCGTCAAATGAATATTCTCACTCTCATATTTGCGTTATCACTCGATCTGATCGTTGTTCGATCTCGAAGTGAGTTTATTAGTTGCTAATGGGCTGTTTTTCGATAATGCTTCAAAATTAAGGCTTTATAGAGGAAAACTTGTTCCGAATGACTAATTTATATTTCTACGCTATTGATGCGCCTCAGATAAGATGAATTTTTGTAAGTCTTTTGTGAATTATCACACCAAACGTAGCATGTTTACTCCTGAAAGCATTGATGATTTGAAGCTGTGAGTGTATCATCGCAATGCGATCTCGACTCGGAACAAACCAGAATCGGACGATGTGTTCGGCCATGGCTTGATCTTTGGGAAATGATACGCATACGTGAGCCTCAGGCAGCAGATCTCGTTTTTCCCGTTAGTTTGCAACTATTATACATCATTCATAGTAGATCTGCGTCCATTTCAGCACGTTCGTCTACGGAGTACACTGCACAAAGCATTAAGTACACTTGAAATTGAATGCTGCACGACCAGTCACTACGCAAACTTATATAATAATTGGCAATTTCAATTCAATGAAATGAGTTTATTACTTGTTAAATGTTCATATGCCTTTAGGCAGGCATAAAATTCTATATTCTAGCATAACATTGTGCGAATGAGAAATTCATCGAATTGAAATTCATCGAATGAGTGCAATTCATTTGTTCGTCACTTCGTTAGACATGGATCTCTTCTAATAACGTGACCTGATTTCACTTCAAAAGTACATTCAAAGAAAGTTGTACTTAAAGTTTTTTCACTCGATTCCAACCACTTTCAC